AATACTGGAGTCAAGTTTGGATGGACTCGGGTCCTTTCATAGCATTCTAAGGTGCACTGAGAAGCCTGGAGTAATTTCTTTAAAAAGATAACAAAATCTTTTCAGCTGTGATGTCTGTGTGTTCACATAAAGATGTGGTCATGTGGCTTTCTCCTGCAATAAATATTTGCCTCATAGGACTGATGGAGTACATGCTGGTTACATGCTGTATTATTCTCTGCTGGTGATGGAGCTCTTGTAGCCCCCACTGTCGCCTCTATAACCATTGACTTTGGGATGGTTTCTACTTAAGTTCTGTGACTGGTCTAAAAATTTACATAACAAGTATTTCCATGAAAGAAAATTGGATTTTTCAAAGAGCACGGTACCTTTGGAGAAGACAATAATTCCAAGATTAAAAACAAAGCCTTTTCAAATTAAAATAATCTTTCTTAGCTGGCTTTGAGTGGTTATTCTTAATGGTCAAGTCTCTCATTTGAAGAACCAAGTGATGTCTCTCTTGCATGGTTGATCTGTGGTGTGATTTATAATCCAGACCATAAGAAATTTTTTTTGTTTATGTTTCTAAAAACCAGCAATTTGTGGTTCCCTGTGCTGATGTGTTAGCCCTTAGACTGTGGGTTGTAGCATCCAATGCCTTGTCCAACAGTGACAGCTTACATTGCTCTCCTCAGCAGTGCAGATCACCTTCAGCTCTGCCTTGGAGCATCACAGCCCACCTGTGCTCTTTCTGGTCTTATTTTGTTAGATCCTATTTTGTCTGGATTTGTCAAGCCCTTTCCCTTCCTCAGTGGCAGCTGGCAGCAAGGCATAAGCTGCCCTTCCCCAGCACGTCTCCCTCCCATCCTTTTGCATCACCTCCTTTCCCATTCAGAGCAGCTCCCAGCGCTGGAGGATCAACGTGAGGCAGCAGAAGAGACCAATGGTTGTCAGCCCGGTGCTCGTACTGCCTGTGAGTGCAGTGCAGCCATGGCTTCCTCCCAAGCCTTGGCATCTCCACATCTGTGATGGAGGCAACGAAAGCACTGCGATTCATGGCTCCCCTGTAAGATCTGGCCAGGTCCCCAGAGGGGAAACACTGTGCCAGGACCAGCCCAGACTGAGAGCTGGAGGAGGATCATGTATGAGAGTTTGACAAGCAGGGAGGAAGGTGGGGGATGAAGAAGCTCTGCTTGGCTTTGCTCTCAAAGAAGGAGGCTCATGCAGCTGCTGCCCATGTTGGGTCACTGGGAACATGCACCTTTTCACCAGGTAGTGATGGGGAGAGTTCCTGCCTTTCTGTGGCATCAGCACCTGTGTGTAAACACCTCAGATGTCCCTGGGGTGCTGTCTTCCTTCCCTCTGCTCCTCAGTCCTCCCTTGGCTCACGTTTGTGGTCTTCCAGACACCACTGCTGCTCTTTTCCTTGTGTTCTCCACTGTGCTGCCAGTCTGTCCCCACAAGGATGCCAACCCCAGTTCTCCCCTGGCAGATGAAGTCTCTGTGGTTCCCCCCAGTTTTTCTGTGTGCCCCTCACTTGCCCAGTGCATTGTGCGAGTGCTGCCACTTTGGATGTTGTGGGGGACATCCGGGGTGTCCTCCCAGCTGCAGCTCAGCAGCCCAGCAATGCTGGACATAGGTAGGGAAGAGGATGACCTTGGTAGATTTTGGAAAGGTGCCCGAGGCCTGCTGTGACGCCACTCATGCCTCTGAGGGAGCCTGCAGCAGCACTGCAGTGTTGACACTGAACCCAACCACAGGAAGATCAGGAAATGCAAGAACGCCTGTTGCTGAGGGAAGCCGGACTTGGCCCTTGCGTGAATTTGCTGAGCTCTGCAACCAAGGCCCATGAAGGAAGCATTTCCTGCTGCAGCAACATCGCCCATTGCCCTCCCTACACCTTGTGTGGGTCATTTCAGGTTCATTTTTGTCTGATGAAAGCCCCAGCTGCACCTTCTGCAAGCAGTTTCTGGCTGATTCACTTGAAGGAAAACTTTGTCCTTGGTGGAAACACCCTGCCAAGTGGGAGGGACACACTCCCTCCTGAGGATCTGCTTCCTTCAGCATGCAAACTGTGCCAGTAGTGTGAGGCCAACAAAAATAAGCACAAATGCCCCCTCCTCAGCTAGGACTCAGCAGCTGCAGAATAACATGGGACTACTCTTGCCTTCTTGGCATTCGGTGAAGAGGGAGAACACACTTTCACCTGCACTATTCCCTACCTCTCATCAAGGCAAAGAGGCAAAATTCAGTCCTGACCCTCTTTTCTTACCTCGTTCCTGTGCCTTCCGAGGGCTTCTTAGAGAAGAAAAAAGAGCACATTCTTTCCTGACATATGCATGTACCATGCTGGAGTCACTTGCCACTGGCAATGGCCACACACAAAATGTGTCACTTCACTAACCTGTACAACTCAAAAGCACCATGTGTGCCAGATAGAGCTTATCCTTCCCTGAAGTGTCTTAGGGATGGAGGGTGAAAGGTTCATTCTTCATCAGCTTTATAAAAATATCATGTTTCTGGAGGTGACAACACAGGCAGCAGTGGGGGGACACTGGAAGAACAGCTCTGCAAGGCTGGGAGTGAACATGCTCCCGGCTGTGTTTGAATTGGAGCCCTGCCACAGAAACTAAAGGAAAAAGCGCAAGGTTTTGGAGGTGGCTAACCTTGGCCACAGCCTGCAGCTGGGCTGGTGCCTGTGCTCTGGTGGAGGACACATGTGGGGTGGAAAGACCTGTCTAGCCCTTTGCAACCGTGGCATCAACCTTGCCCCTCGCACCCGCTGGGGCCATGGGCAGTGCTGCGTCTGCAGCCATGTGAGCATGGAGCAGGTGGCATTGGCAGGAAAACTCCTCGGGGATGCCAAGGACTCAGCGGGTCCTGGCCCCCCCACTAGTGGTGTTTTTCCACCTCTCGGTCCTGGCATGTCAGCAAGCGCTGGGACACGGGGAGGCACCGGCTATTGGCAGCGCCCATGCCATGTGTTATTCAATCCCAATAATCCCGAGACTCCAGGAGGCTCTGGGGTAGCAGGAGATCCTCTCCTGCTAAACTAAACTCAAGCTATTTTGCTGGACCTGTATTTTAAACATAGTCCAAGCTTTTCACGCTTGTCTAAGGCTTTCCTCTGGGCACCAGCCCCTTCCTACTCCCCAAACAGCCGAGTTCGAGTCAGACACTGCTGCTGCTGCTGTCACAGACCAAAAAGCCCCAGGCTGAAGTGTGGCATTTTCTACCTGAGCTGTCTCTTCCTTTCAGGCAGAAGCCCGCCTTCTCGGTGACTCAAGTTTCAAGTTTCCTTCTTAATAACGGAGTCCCCTGTGACGAGTGTCTAAACAATACCCCCACGCCCCTTGCTTCGGAGGTTTCAGGAGACAAGTCCCATCTTGTTGCTATGCCTTGCTGGAGCAAGCTGCTCGGGGACTGACTCGGTCACTGTCCAAACATCCGGCAAACACTCCCAAACCCAGGCACTACCCCACACTGGCCCAACACGGTGCTCCAGCAGCTCCCCTCTGAAGGCTGATGGAAGGCAGAGCCTCTCCCTGCACGCTGCACTACATGGGGTTCAGCTCCCTACACTCCTCCTGCTCCCTGAGACAGCACAGTGACAAATATCTCGGGAGGAACAAGCCCATACTAAACCTCTTCCCTAATCCCTGCTCAGGCTGTGCAGCTATCAGCTGTAAGCCAACTCCAGGCCCTACCTGTGCCCAAAAAGGGAAAGGCTCCGTGCCTCCCTGCGTCACAGCTGAGCAAATGCAGGGCAAGGATCAGGAAGGCACATAGTCGCTCTCGATTTTCCATTTCCAAAAACATGTCTAAGGGCAAGCGTTGTGCATGCTTTAGATAAATGATTACAAGGGGTTTGAGACACAAAGGGGAAAAAATAGTTTTGTTGCCTAGTGCAATGTGACAGTCACGAGGCACACAGTAGGCATGAGCAGCAGCCCAGCTCCTGGGGCTCGCAAAACCAAGGGCACAGTGAGCTCTCCCAGGAAGAAATTTAGGCTAGAGGGGCTGAGGAGGCATGGGGGATGCTAGTGGGAGTCAGCTCCAGTTCCTTGTTTGGTTTCCTCAAGGACATTCAAAGCAGCTCCCTTCAACAGCTTTTTTGAGGAGGCAGCATGGAGAATCTGAGGGACCCCTCGAGCAGGAGGCAGCAGGAGTGTGGTGGGGCTAGGGAAGCTGGGTTACACAGCCAGCAGCACACATGGGGCATGACAGGCATTTCAGCACCTTCCTCAGCCATCTCATCTCCTTCTGCTAAAAAGAAGCTCTCTTGAACAGAAATTCTGATTGAAACTGAGCAGTGAGTTCATAAAGAAAAACAAAATCAGACCACTATCATTACTGTGTGCTCTCATATCCAGCCTCAAGCCCACCCCACTATGGGAAGTTACCTTGGATGAACGTTCACAGCAGGGAGGACAGAGCCTGCATATGTACCTTGATGCTCCCTTTGCTTATCAAGTACCCCACCCACCCCAGAATAAACACAAACTGGTTTGTGCAGAGGGGAAAGAAAGCAACCCAAAATCAGCACCTCTCTGCAGGAAGCACTGCCGTGGGGAGCTTCATCTACCCCATGAGTGACAGCAGAGGGCTCCTAACCCAGCCTCAGAGGTGATGGTCCTAGTCAGCTGACACAGAATTTGGGTATTTTAGGAACTCTGCCGCTTGACTGAAGGCTCCCTCCTCTCCCGCAGAGGAGAGCCAGCTCCTCCCCCCACTCCAGGGAGCTGAATCATGGCAGGACCAGGGATGGCCAGGCACATCGCCACTTTTTCCTATGTACTGCTATTCTTGGCAGCAGGAGAGGTCACTGAGACAGCTGTCCTGGCCATGTTGCACAATCCTGGGCACCACTGAGCTATTCCTAATGCTGTGAAACCGGGACCCTGCCTGCAAGGCTAACACTGAGCACCACTTCATCCAAGGCAGCTGTATTCCTCCTTACCCAAAATCAGGCATGTCCGAGGTCTTCTCTCTGCACTTAGCACACAACACACGACAAACAGTTATTATATCATGCTTTTAATACAAACTTAAAAAAATCTGGAACAATAGAAACTGTACAGATTTGATCAACCTTTTTGTGGGTTTTTTTTGTTTGTTTTTAACTAAATCTCTAGACACACCAATATCCCGTTCCAAAATATTGCACAACATTCTGAATACAAAACTCTGATTGTATTCCTCCTTCGCTAAAGAAAAAAAAAGAAAGAAGGAAAAAAAAAAAGAAAAAGACAGCAACCCCCTGGTTCCCCATCTCAGTAGTCCCCTTCTCCAAAAAAACCCCAAGCAGAGCACAGGCAGAAACCCTCCACTCGGAGACATACAGACTTCTGTCCTCTTTCACTCCTCTCCCACAAGGCAACTGTCAATTCACTCCTCGGAGAGGGGCAGGAGGAAAGGGAGGCTGAGTGGGGAGAAAGGAATCTTCACCACTTCTTTTTTTTTTTAAAGTTTTTTCCTGAAAAAATATTTTTTTCTCTCCTCTTTTTTAAGAAAAAATCTCGAAAAGAAAAAAATTACATTTTTTTACGTTAGAAATATACATATATTATATATACCTCTTACATTTTACAAATGTAGCAAATTATTCAATACAAACAGACATCAACAAAAAGAACATAAACCCATAAAAAATAAAAGTTAAAAAAAAATCTTCTCTCTTCTCTTCCTAAGAAACCAGGTAAATTAGTGCAGGTTTTTAAAAAATAAAATTGAAGCTGAACGCCTACATCCAAGACTAGAAAAGACCTGAAAAGGCCATTAGTTTCCATTGCTGCCTGATGCTGGAGGAACATTTCTGAAGCACACTTTTTTCCTTTTAAGATGCAAAGAAAGAGGTTGGTCCCTCTTCTTTTCCTCCTTCCACTCACACCACTATTTTTAAAGCAGGTATAATACGTGTGGCAGGGCAAAGCAGCATCAAAGTTTCACACACACATAAGCAAGTGGACAGGGGACATCCCCACTTCTTCCCTCCCTCCCTTGTGCTGGAGGAGAGCACACTGTCTCACAGCAGCAGCTCGCAGGTGGCTTTGCCAGATGTGGGGACAGTCGGGGGCAACTGGACCGGGTCCTGCCATCAGAGGCTGAACACCCCTCAGAGTCCAGTGCAACATGTGGGGTGGCACCCAGCAGCACCCTGTTGGGGAGAAGGACTCCATGGCAGTGGTAGCATCCATTAAAAGCAGTGGGTTCAAAGGAAAGAAAAAAGGGGAACACAACAGCTGGGCCACTCCTCATCAACTTGTCCTAGTCTGGAAACCTGCAGGGTTGAGGTTGTGGGCACCAGCTTTGGGAAACCGGCTGGGCTCTGCTCTCCTCACCCACCTGCTGCATTGGTCATAGCTCAATAGCAAGCAGCCTGCTTGGGAACCCATGCTGGGCACAAGGTCAGGACCGTGCACCCCATCACCCATCGAGGGGAAGGGTACACTGGAAACTCTCCTGGGAGAGCTCTGGGCAGAGACAGTCTCCCTGGGACAGCCCATTACCTTCTGCAAATGTTCAGAGGCAACACAACTACAAAAGGGCTGGAAGTGCCTCCATCTCAGGGAAGGAAGCAGGAAAAGCACATGGTCAAGCTCATCTCACCTGAAACAGAGATTTCTTGAAAGAGCACATTGGTTCCACAAGTGCAGGAGGAGTGGATTTCAGACTGTGCCCCAAGAAGCATCATTAAAAGAAAACCAAACCTCAAGTTTGGGAAGCAGCAAAAGCTTATTTTTCATTTCAACTGAGAACTTCAAAGACTGCAGTTTCATCATCTCCACCTCTCTCCTCTTTGCACACTTCCATGCTCACACAGCAGCCTTCAAGGAAACCTCCCTTCCCACCAAAAAAGCCTCCATCCTTCCTGGGCATGAAGCAGTCCTCCTTTGGCTTTCTGTGAAGGTGGGTCTTGGAGTCCTCGACACAGAAGGGATTAAGCTGAACAGTCACTATTGCCTGACTGCCACACATCATCCTGGAGAAAGGTGCAGAGTCCCATATCCCATCCCTGCTGTGAAGAGGCACCATACATTCAGAGACTGAGACAACCACTTGCCTTTGGAGAGCCCATCCCAGCTCTGCGCTAAGCTTGCTGCTGTCCATGCTGATGTGATCAGGCTGGAATGAGGAATTTATGATAGGTGCTGCCTTTTCTCACTGCATCAACCACCTCCTCATGCTTCCCCAGAAAGGCAAGGGAAGGGCTTCAGTCAAGTGCATACCTGGCTGAAAGCATAAACCCTTATGCTACCACTCAAGACAGCAGCTTCAACAACATCACCTGATCTTCTTAAAAAGTTACGCTGCCTCGCTAACTAAAAAGGAAGGAATTTCCTCTCTCAGACAAGACAATGAATTCACAGCAGATAATGAGAACTCGGACCTCAGAGGCCACCCCAAGTGGATGCTGGCCCCTGCTGCTGGGGAGAACATCTGGGAAGTGGGGGAAGGATCCAAGTGGGGTCCAGCTGGTTCAGTGCCACCTCCTCCAAACCACAGAGAGAGGCAGGTGGTGATTCTACACCACAGGGGCTGTTATCCAGACTGACTGGGCAGCCCTGAGAGAGCACAAAAAAGGCCCTCTTGCTCAGCTACAGAAAGGTCCAATAACCAGAGCCACTAAGCTCTAAGCACTGTCCCCCTGTAGCCACAACTGGAAGTGCAGACGAATAAGGGAGCAGGAAGAAGCCATTTCACAGTAATGCTCTGCCCTGACTGTGATGTGCTGCGAGACGGTCAAGGAGAAGAGTTAGTGCTTTTCAGCACACAGAACAGCTGATGCCAGCTTGGGCTAGAGCCACAACAGCACAATGGTCTGCGCCCGTGGGCACAGGCGATGTTCTCTGTATACACAGAAAAAGCAAGCTCACCCACCCATTCTGGCTAGCACACAACAAGACTGTGTGTGTCCCCACCAACACTGACTCATCCTCTTCTTGTCCCTCCTCCAGCACGGTGGTATGAAGATGACATCCCTACACCCAGGTAGAAGGACCCTGTGTCCAGTGTGAGGCAGGGGGTGGTGCAGGGAATCAGGAGCATTGTGACCTACAGTTGCACCAGTCCTGGGCTGGGGTGGGGGAAGGGGGCACACAAACCAAAAATAAGCCCAAGACTCATTTTAAGGAGTAAAAAAGTGAGTAGGAAAAAAGCACAGGTACTGAGTTAAAAAACAATTCAGTGCTTCAGGAGCGTTACCAGCACAGCGCAACAACACTGAGCTCTCTCTTTTCCCAAGAACCTATATTTGTAAGGTTTTAATATTTTCTGTATATTTCTATTTTTCTTTTCTCTCCCTCTTGTTTGTTTGTTTTGTTCTTGTTTCCCCCCTCCCTCCCTGCCCCAAAATACTCTCCTTCCGTTGTATTCAGTTGGCCAGGACGACGGGCTGGAACGACTGGCTAGGATACTGCATGGCATTCAGGTTGTAGCTGAGTCCTTCCACAAAGGGAGACTTCTCCAAAAAGAGGCTATTGGTGCTGCCACTGAAGACCTGAGCCATATCAAAGGTACCACCTGTGCTGGCGTTGAACTGCGATGCTGGCGGGATGCTGCTGGCCTGGCTCTCACTGGCAACACCATCGAAGAAGAGACTGCTGGCTCCCGACGAGGCGCCGCTGTAAACGAACTCCTTGGCATTGGGGGAGAGCTGTGACTGCGGGGCTTGGCTCCCAGCGCTCCCGACGAAGTTCAGAGAGTGCATCGACAGGGAGAGGCCCTTGTGCTTCAGCAGGTTGGTGGTGGGAGACCTGACCATTCTGGGCTGCTGCACAGCCCCTGCTCCACTGCCCCCTCCTCCGGCTCCCCCACCCTTCTTCATCTTGGTCGAGCCGAACTTGGTGGCAGCAAAGGTGGCAGTGGTGAAAGTGATGGGCTGCGCAGAGCGAGGGATGAAGGTGGGGCTGGGTGACTGGCCAAAGGAGGGGGACGGAGAGTTGGACAGCGAGTTGTCCTGGCTCCCGATAGGGACAAATACCTGGGCATCAGGGTTGAAGCTGCTCTTGATTTCTTTGTCCAGCTCTGTGGCACTGCAGCCCTCACTGTCATCTAGGTAGAGAACCTTAACAGAGCCCTTCTCACCGATTTGGTAGGAAACCTCAAAAGGATCAATCCAGACACTCAGCTCTTCTGGCACATTGGCACGCACATCCTCCACAGCCAGCCCGCTCCGCTTGGCTGCCAGCTCCACCACGGGATCCACCGTCTCCCCTATATGAACACAGCGATAGCCAGAGCCCTTCAGAGGTTTCTCTGGGTACCAGTGACCCTCATATTTCTTCTTCAGCAGGCGCTCTAGCTCCTCACCAAACAGGTCTGCCCGCCTCCGAGGAAGCTTGTTGTACAGGTATGAGATGATGAAGTTAAGAGCAACTTTGATCTCCAGATGCATACTCTCTTCCCAGCAAGCAAGTCAGGGCAGTATATTAAAAGTGACAAAATGACAGAAACATAGACAAGTTTTGACTCCAAAGAGACCTAGGGAAAGAGAGAAAAGGATGGATGAAGACTAGAGAACACAACAACTCTCCCCCTGTTGAGATAAATAACTGTGCCTTTTCATAAACAAAGCAGAATGAGCAGTTTGCACAAATACTAACAAGAAGTAATGCTCTCTAGGAGAGTCATCACAAATCTACTGATCCTCAAAACAGAGGGATGCTGATAAGAAGAACTCTCCCTGCTCCTCTTTCAGAAAAAATAAGGGTGTAGCCACTACCCGCACGCAAGTAGGTACATCACACTCACCTCACTGCCAAGCGCGGCTGCTGTAACCCAGCAGGGCACCGTCTGCTCGGGCAGAGCTCTGTCAGCACAGCTAACACGCCTCTCCTGCCCTGGCACTCAGCCGCTTCCAGCACGGCTCAGCTGCACCAGCCTCTCCAGAGCAGCACCTGAACAGCCTCGTGACTCGCTCAGCAGCTTTGTGCAGAGACCTGCTTGTGCTCAGGACAGCAGGGCCGGCCTCTCCTCCGGGAGGCTGGGTGGTTGTGCCGGGTGCCACGTCCTGCTGGCACAAGCACACAAGGGACGAGAAGGAGCGAGGGAGGGTGCTGGGGCACCAGCTGCCGGCCCATGTTTACTATCCCCTTGACTAGCAGGCACATATCTCATTAAGTGTACCCAAGTTGAGACTCTGCCTAGCTACAAGCATAAAATCTCAGTTTAAGTCTGCTGAGTGGAGACAGTGAGGCAGTAAATGTGCACAGGGTCACAAAATACAAAGATGCCAACAGCCTGTCCAATACAGTTCACATCGTTTATCCCTGCACAGAGAGAAGATGAGCTCTGCCAGGATCAGATACCTACTTAATAAAAACTGAAATTGCTTGCCAAAGATTGAAGTAATCCTCCCTCCTCTCTCTCTCTGCCTTGTGAGGAAGTCTCCAAAATGGAGAGAACCCACAAAAGCACAATGCAAAACCACAACACTCAACTCTCCCATTATACACAGATTTGCAAACAATGTTTGTCTGGGTACAAAAAACCCAAAACCAGGTATGTCAGCATACACTCGGTCACTCATCGAAGGAAGATGAATCTCACAGATATTTTAAGAGGTAGCACACTTCCAGTAGCCTCCACACCTCTCCAGGGGAAAGAAGAATATCCAGTTTTTAATTGGCAGCTTAGTCAGAGGCTGCTCTGTCTTCAGCTGCCCTCACCTTGCTCAAAGAGACACACTGTGTTCAACCGTCTTCCTAAAATGGGCTTTAGGGATATTCTTTTACAGCACTCAAGCCAATGTTTATGATGACAATTATTTGGGGGTGGGGATGAAGTACAAACATACATAGTTAGCATTCCCCTGAAAAATCCCAGCAGCACAACCAGGTATCCATGCTGGCCTGAGTCAGCAGGAGTTAAAAAACTGACCAGACTTGTTTGCTTGGTCTAGTTTAGTGGACAGGAAGGATCAAATAATTTTGAAGAAGCCCTCAAATATTTTAAAGCTTTACTGCAAAAAAAGGGATGCAGATTCTATGCTTTTTCTGTACTACTCCACGTTCAGAGAGGCTTAGCTTTAGGAAGACGATAACCAGAAGCAGATCCCCCACCTCTGATCTACCAACAAGGAGGTCGGTTCTGGAAGGAATCCCCTTTGGGTTTGACTCAGCAACATAAAAACACACAGGAACAAGGGACTAGAAAAGAAGTCTTTCCTTTAAAACCAGCTTTAAGGAATTACTGTAATGTAACAAACTTTGGTAGATCACTGCAACCTGACCAAATCCAAGTAAGAACACCAAAGAAATAAGCAACCACAGTTTTTCTAGGAACAGTTAAGAAGAAGTTGTTTCCAGAAGGCAAAAGTCTTGGCACAATGACAGAGCCTTTTCAACAAAAATTAAGTATGAAGCAAACCCCTAAAGAGCACACCTAAACCCTAACAAGAGCCTGTACAGACTATACTACCTCAAGGGAAGATTATATGGAGCTCTCTAACTTCTTTGGCTTTGAGATGTTCAAAAGAGAGGACACCTTGGGATCCCAGCAAGTTAAGCAGGAAGAGAACAGCCAGTTTGTAAGTCTTTTATCTTGTGATAAATTCTAATCCAGAACCAAAATCTATTAAGAGATCAGATAAGACTGGGAAAGGAACAGTGGCCAAAATGAGTTAACATCCTATATATAATATACATTGAGCTCCTCATCAATTTTTTGCAGAAAGCTGTGAGGAGGTACAATTATACATTATCTCCTTTTTTCTTTTCTCCAGTTTTCCTAAAAAGAGAATACTCTGTACCTTGGTTATGAAAAAGCTAAGTTAATTAGCCTAATAACACCAACAGCTGCCAAGGTAAAGACATTCAACTGATACCTGCCGAAGGCACAAAAAAGTCACTGGCTTCTCAGGTTGTTGACATGGCAAGATGAGCTCCAGTAGGATCCCCTCAAGCTACTGCACTGAAATGTGATAAAATAATTTTTAAAAAAATTTAAGAACCCCCAAACCCACTGAAATCCAACTGAAGAAGCATGGCTCTGAGAGAAGAAACTACTGAAAATCAATTTTAAGAGATATTCTCGGCAGTCCTCCATAAAGGCCAGCATTTTCAAACTAAAGGCTTACTGTACATCGAGGTGCTGGCAGGGAACAAAGAGCTGTTTCTCTGCTCTGCGAGGGAAGGCAAGAGCCCCCTCAGACTCCCCGTTTATCGCTATGCTGAAGGGGTGAGGCCAGACCATCACTTACAACAGAGAAGAGCGAACACGGGAACGATTCCCTCTCCTCCCGGCTACACCAACACGGTGGATGACCTTGCGGGTATCCCCCTTCGACTCCTGAACGAGGCCGGGCCCAGCCCAGGCCGGCCGCCGCCTCGGGACTTAGACGGCTTCACGGCGGCCTGCGGTCCCACAGCCGGACACACCCGTCTGGAACGAGAGCGCCCTTCCCCGCACCCCGCCAAGGGCGGCGGAGAGGTTCGCCCCCACCAGCCGAACGGCCCCGCGGGGACGGGCCCCGCCGCTCCTCCATCCCCGGTAGCGCGGCCATTCCCGGCGCCGGCCGGCCCGGCACGCCGGGAGCTGTAGTCCTCGCCCCCCCTCCCCGCCCCGCGACCTACTTCTCCCCGGACTGCGGCTCCCGGCGCGCCCCGCGCCCGGCCCGGCGCGGCCCCCGGCGGGGCAGGGCACAAAATTTTCCAGCGCACATGCGCGCTGGGGCCCGCCCGCCCTTCCCGGCGCTGCCCACGGCCGGGAACACGCCCCGCGGCCCGGGACCGCCGGGCAGCCGCCCCCTTCTCCCCTTCCCTTCCCCTCCCTCCCTCTTGGCAGGGATGGGCGGGCGCGTCCCCACCCCACAGCTGTTTCTCCCCTACGGCTGCGGGACGGAGTCCGGGAGGCCCGAAGCCCAGTAACCTTCTGTCCCTCTCCCCCGCCCCTCGATGCTTGTCCCCTTCGCCCCACTGGGGCACGCGAGGTCGGCAAACAAGGTTCCCAAAAGAGCGGGTCGGATGGATGGGGCTATGTCAACAAGGGCGAGCTCCCGGCCCCGCACACCCAGCGGGGCATCGCAGATCGGGGTGTCCGGGAGAAATGGGGGGAGGCGATGGGGGGGGGGAGCCCAGCCCAGCCCCGACAGCGCCTTTGTTGTCGCCGGGCTTCTCCCCCTCGGACCTCGTCGTGCACGAAAGGGAACACGCCGGCGACATCCCCCTTTCCCGGGAGCCCAGGGCACCCACCACCGCCCTTGGGCCCAGCCTGCCTTTTTTGGGGCTGCTAGGGCTGGGGCTGAGCCGCATCCCTCTCCCGCCCACCCCCCCCCTCCTCTCAAACTAGGCTCTAGAGAACAAAATGGTGAACTGGGGCACTGCAAAGCGTCCCCGACCTAGTGACTTTCACCTCCATTCTTCTCCCTTGAAGCCCTATTAATCCCCCAGGGGACTATAGCCGCACAGTGACTCCACGGACGGGCAAATCGCTGTCCCTGGTGGGGAGGGGGACGATGAGCCCCCTCAGACCGAGCTCACAAAGAGGACGCGCGCGGGAGGGGTCCCAGCCCAAAAGGGGGTGTGGGGGAGAAAAGCAACCCCGGCCCTACTTACTTCGTTCTCGGATCCAGGGCCGGCGGCTGACTGGCGGCTGTCGCGGGGGCCGAGGGCGCTGCCGGCAGGTCTCGTCTCTGCTTTGCCCCGTCTCGTCCGTCCCCTCCCTCCCTTGTCCCCGACGGCGCGGGGCGGGCCCGGTGCTGTGGTGCGGATGCCGCTGCTGCGCCCCCAGAGCCGCCCGCGCCCTGGCCCCGAGTGAGCCAACTCACGGCAAACTTTCACCCTTAGCAACCTCTCGGCGCACGGATCCGCTCCCGCCCCGCGTGATGCGGCCGCGGGGGGCGGGCCGGGACTACTTCCCCCTCCCGTCGCCGTCCGCAGCGCCCCGGGATGGACGGGGGGGGGGGCCGGTCCGGCGGAGCTTCCGCTGCTGCCGCCCGGACACTGGGAGTATCCCGGATCCGAGCTCAAGGGAAGGAGGGACGGGGCCGCGGCCTTAGCGGGGATTGACCTGAGGACTTCCCCAAGCGGTTTAGCCTGAGGCGACGGGGGGATGGAGTGGAATCGAACGGAGCGGGGAGAGACGGGACCGGCCGGCGTGGTCCCCGCCCCCGCGCACCATGGGGACGGTGGAGCCCCGGCTCAGCGGCTAGGCCAGCCCCGGGACTCCCCAAGGGACAGTTCTCTGCACACCCCAAGCACGTCTGCGAAGACCCCGTGGTGGAGCCCCCCGCCCCGCTACAGTGGAGGAGCTCGGGGAGACGTGCCCACGGGCAATCCCGTCTCCCTCCATCTTGGCGAACCCCTCGGGATCCCCGGTCCCCGATACGGGCGGGGAGCCCGGGGAACTGCGAGCGCATCTCCCCGGGGAGCAACGGGGCAAGGCCAAACCGGGCGGGCTGGTGTCACCACGGGGAGAACAGGAGCGGCACGGCCACCTCCGCGGCCCCGAGACGGGGACGGAGACCCCGCCCCCGGCACACGCTCCCGCCTCCCGGACTATTTTGTCTCCGCACGCCTGTGTCCCTCCGCCTCCAACAGAGCAGGGCCAGCCCCGCCGCGGCGGAGACGAGAGACCCGCAAGGTGCGCGAGCGCCGGCCGTGCTAAAAATAACTTCGGCGTGTTAGCAACAGCCTTCCCATTGGCTGGCCAGCCCCGGCGGCGCCTTTGGATTGGAGCGCTGCCTCAGCCAGTGAGCGGAAGGGGGTGTGCGCCGCGGGCGCTGCCGGGAGATGTAGTCACCGGGGCGGCCGCGGCCTGCCCCCGTGCCGGGTGCTCCCCCCGCACCGCGGGGCGTTCGCGGGTTCGGGCAGGGCTCGGGGTCACAGGCTGCCCTGGGGAAGGACAACCACGGTCACAGCCATCCCCGGGGCCATGGGCCGATGGCGGCACCTCCACCGCCAAAGGCTGAGCTGCACCACCAACCGGCAAGCTGAAGGCACTCTCAGCCAGCGCACAAACGGACCCGCACCCTTTATTTCAAAGCAGACCCATTACTAGTTCCAGGAAAATGAAATTGCCTATAGGCATCCCCAGGCCGCGTGTGCTACAGTCCAAGGTCACACCACCTTTCACACACACCACTTGCAAAGGCTGTTTGCTGTCCACACTTAAAGCAACTTTTGACCCAAGCAACACCCCGAACTAGTGGCAGGGACACCCAGAAAGGTGTTTCCAGGCTCTCCCAGCCACGTGTTCTGCATCTTCCTCAGTGCTGACACAAGCAGAGGGTGACACAGGCATTACCACAGTCCCTGTTGCAGCAGGGATAGCTGGCCTGGCAACCATCTCTAAAGTGCAAAAATACAAAGTTCATCTCTTGCCCTATTTCCACAATAGCCCTCAGCCTTCTTCTGGGTTTGGTTTGTCCTCCTCTCTCATTCAGGAACACTTTACCTCAGTACTGCCTTTGCCACAGAAGAGCATTTCTTTTGAGGCCAGCCAACGCCATGTGTTAAGAAATCCATTAATGTTCCTTCCCAACCACAGCAGCCAGCCTTGCTCATTTTCCCACCGATTACAGGAAAAAAAAACAAAACAACCAATAACTTTTGAAGTTGTTTTATTTTCTGCAGGGAAAGAGAAGAGGAAGATTTATGAGAGCTATTATGAGCAGCCTTATTTTTGTCACTCCTATTTTAAAAGGAATTTACTTACAAAAGAACACCTTTTTTTTCTTGTTGTATCTTTTTTTTTTTTTTTTCAATTATTCCCTTGCTTTGCTGGAAGCAAAATCATACTGTCAGCCAGAGATCAGGAAATTAAAATGACTGAGCTATTTTTAGCATCATTAAGCAAAAAAAGGCAATTACATTTCTAAAATTCTATTATTGTTTTAATAAGGTGTTAGTAAGAGGGTGTCAGGTATTAGGGCTCTTTAAAATACCTGTGCCTTGACCGTGCTCCTTTAATTACGGCGTGGTCCTTGTACACATGCAGGCAGAGGAATTCTGTCACACTATCTGCTCCTGCATTCTCAGCCATTTGGCTATTAAGTCAAAGCAAAGCTCCCGTGTCACGTGTGCCTGGGGAGGGGAGCCATTGCCAAGCCACTGGGACAGAGCTCGTTTGGTTGGGTTATTTAATGCCAAGGAAGGGGAGTCAGGTTATAATTGGACATAATTAATATCGCCATACCCTGAATCCTCTGTACATTCAATTCACATGACAACCCCAAGGAAATGAAAAATTCTTTCCTGCTATTGAAAGAGGCAAACATCTCCAGCTGATGTCTGTAATGAGAAAATAACAGCTTCTGTGCAGATAAGGTTTCAGAAGTGAGATTTTGTCCATGCAGCTCCCAGGAAAAGCTCGCAGGCAGATTCCAAACCTCCGCCTACCTTTTCTTTTTGTTTTGTCTCTTTTTAAAGAGAAGCAATGCTTGGGGCTCAAGGGCTTTGTCAAGAGGAGGTCTAGGTGGCTCAAGGAAGTGGATCTATGTTACAGAGCTATTTGCTGAGCTCAGCTGTAGCTGTGGCTGGCAGCTGGTCTGAAGGGGTGTGTAACAGGGAACACCTACATTTCAGAACACAGCAATGCCTTGTTAGTACTGGCAACAGAGCCTCATTTCTTAACAGGCCAAGAGGTCCTACGTTCTCTCCTTCAATGTAAATATTTAAAATTGAAGGAGGGTTTTCTTTTTTTCACTTCTTATGCAACATTTTAATAAAAAAAGAAAAAAAATGACACTACCTAGAAAAGTAACGGCAGGAAGATACATTTAGCTCCATGCATTAGGATTTGAAGACAGCACCACGGGGTTTCAGCTGCCACCTTGACAAAGCTGTCCCTGTCTCTCCCACCCTTTCCTGCTGTTGCCACACTCCCTGGCAGCTGGCAGCCAGGGAGCCCCTGAATCTGGCTGCATAAAACTCCATGGATGGATGAAGCCCTTCCAAAGCCTGGCCTGCACACAGCAGCAGGACGTGTCTTGTCTCATTTTCTCCCTACGGGGAAGCTCGCCCTTTTAGCATGTGTTCTGATCTCCTTCTCCTGGACAAGTACTTTAAAATCTATTTAGGTGAAAAATAATACACTTTTCTAGAGGCCCTGCCTAGGTATCTTCTACTGGTGCACAGAAATCATTACCAAGCAAGGTCATGTTTTTCTGGGCTACACAAATGTGTCCATTACCCTTGTCTGAATTAGCAGCTTCAGGGCAATGTCCCATCCATGCTCTGAAAGTACCAGAAAGGCAGTGGCACTGAACTGATCCGAGCACCAGCAGCATTTGGCATGCTCCCCAGAGCTGTCTGAGCAAACAAGGCAAAGGGGAAAAAGCCTGTCCCTCCCTCTCTCCACCTGCCCAGTGACTCAGAACAACTAGAAATGGCAGCTTAACTCTCAGAATACAGACCAATATATCCAGCAGTCAGCGTGAGGGCATCGGGAGTGCCAAGAAAGTGAGTATGTTCAGCTGTTTTTGGGGATGGGGGAAGGGATGGGGACACTCGTACCTCCACAGCAAGCCCTGCCTGGCTGAGCCGCTAAATGATCAGGAACAAGGGGTGCTCTAAAATTAGCTCACCAGGGTGTATTGGTTCTGAGACAAAAAATAATTACTTGCTTCATTTCCCTCTACCTTTACTGAAAAACTTTGTCATCTTTCAAATTTCTGGGAAAGGAAAAAAGTGCGTACAAACCTTCTGCATTCCTAGCGAGATAATGTGGGCAGCCTGACTGAGGGTAAGTGATAAATTCTGGTTGAAGTGATAAAGTTCCAAGTACAACAAATCTGCGTGTCATGGCCTGCTTTTAAAGAAACACAGAATTTAAAATGGCCGATAACAGGTCTGACATGGGCTTCCTGGTCTGCAGAGGCAGTTGCTTATTCCCATAGAACTGCTTTGGGAGAATAGGTTTGCTGTAACCAATGAGCTAGATTGCTCTGAACGTCTTGGCAAATGGCATCCATCAGAAGCTGTGTAGGGAAAAAGATATACTAATACTCTCAGAACTGCAAAAAGCTTGGAAGAGAAACCTGACATAACTAATAGCTGGGGGCAGGAGAGGGAGGAGCAGCTGAGATACCTGCAGGGCCAGTGACAGATACAGCCAGCTGCAGCAGGGAAAAATTGCTTTTGAGGGCAGGATAATCACAACTTGTGTGCTTTACACTTTTATCCAAATGGCTGGAGCAGGTAGAAGAGGTATTTAAGCCAAGGAGTAATTAGAAGAATTGGTACTAGCCCCAAGGGAATAGCTGAAATCCTGGAAGGGGCACAAAACAAAAAAAGGTTTTGGGGCTCTGCACCCCAAAACTGCACAAAGACAACTGTGTTAGTGTAGCGCACACTCTGCTCAGACTACAGGCGCTTGAAGGACCGCAGGGCACCCTGAGCCAGGACCCTGATTTGACCACCTGAGGAGTACACACCCATGGGGAGCTCAGTTCTGCCTCTGCACAAAGGCGCCTGTTCCCAGACCTTTGCTGAGCCAACAGACTGATTTTAGTCTCTATTGGTATTTGACAAACAAGCAGCCTCTGGTTTGCAGCACGCACACGGCCAATAGCCCAGAACACAATAGTTGGTTTCCCGTTACAGCAGGGAAGGCTTTAACTTATTCACAAGAACAGGACGGCGAGTCAAACAGCTTAGTAGGTTTTAGAAAGGGATTGGATGTTTGCATGGTGAAACAACATCCACGGCCGTATTAGCCGGGATAAGGGTTACAAGCTCAGCGATCCTCATGCTACGGGACAAAATGATCACTGGCTGGGATCACAGGCAGACAAAAGCAACAGCCGTTCCCTGAAGCTCCTTGTGGCAAGGTCACGTGGCCACAAGCAGACGCTGTCAGAAACCAGATAACCCATTGTGAAGTGCTAGCTGGGCTAAGCCTCCATGTCCTCAGAAAGCTCCAGAGAGGCTAGGCACAGAATGAACCAAATAGAAATCCTTGTTGTACCAAAAATAAAAACCCAAAAGCAAAAGCTTTATTGGTATGCATCCTACAGAAATGGTTACAAGAAATGGCCTTGGATTTATCTGTCAAAGGAAACATGGAACAGCTGTGCTCTCCCTGGGAAGGTACCAGCCATGAGCAGATTCCTTAAAAACAGGGGAGCATGGAAATATACTGGAGGAAGGGAGGAGGGGAGCAGATTGGTGTTCTGTTCTTCAACACTCATGGATGGGGCAATTTCAAACAATTGAGAGGAGGCCCAGTAAGTACAACCTCAAGGTGTTTCTCCACACTAAAAACAGCACTTTCCATTTTTACATGGCTCCTTCTATGTGTAAGTGCTTGTCCACTCTGCTTTGTATAGTTGGGGCAACCACTAGCAGAGCTTCTGCAAAGGCAAAAGACAGTAATCTTCATTTGCCCTCTCTCATCATTGGTTCTCATCACATTTTAGTCCCCACTCAGTCTGTTATTTCTCCATCCCAAGTATATTACTGAATTTGTATTGCTTTAGAAAAAAATCAACCAGTTTTCAGTAAGAGTAAAGTCCAGAGATGTTCCAAGACCCTCTTGCCAACCCAACAGGAGGTAGCCACGTACGAATAGGATCACCTCTTCTTGAAGCCATACTTTTTCCTTTCATAGAAAA